GATAGAACAGATTTTATCTCTGCAATCAATAATTATAAAAGATATTTTTACCTGAACCTGTTTAGTGATATGGGATATGGCTTTATCAGTTTCGGTCATTGTAAATATTAAATTATTTTATTAATACGAATTTAAAAATGCGTAGTATATGTGCCCAAAATTAATTATCCAAACATTCAATTTGAGATATATATTATTTGGGAATGGTGCAACTAAATATTTTAACTTACCTTAATTACTAAAACAGATCTTATATTTTTTAGAAATTGATCAATCCCTCTATCCCGCGTTGTTTGTTAATCAGCTTTGGTACAAGTGTAGTATACCACTACTATGGGGGAGAGTTGAGTTAAAAGGTAATGATATTCATTACGGACATTATTTCCCAGTTGAATATAATTATTGTGAATGATATCGAACACGGTTAGAAAGTTTCATAAAGCTGATATGCGAAGAGAGAAAACCTGTCCATGCCCAAATCTGAAAAGCTTGAAAATTTCATATTATCATTCGATTACACATAAAAATAATTAGATCCATTGTAAATTACTGCCTGAATGTAATTTATTTAGATTTTAAAAGTAGTGTGGGTATTAGTGATAAGACATTAATTAAAATAGCTTCATCATATCCAAATTTAAAACATTTTAATTTATGGGATAATCGAATGATAACTGATAAAAGACTATGTCAAATTGCACAATCATGCAATAAATTGGAATATCTAAATATTTCTTATTGTAATGGTATTACTGACAAATCATTAATAAAAATTACAAAGTCGTGCTATAATTTTATTTTAATAAAGCGTATTGGATTACTGATAGAACTGTAAGTTGTATTTTAAACTCATGCTTTAATTTACGATGCTTAGGTATATGAGGTAGTTGAGGAAAAATCAAAGATGCTAGTATATTACTACAAATGCACCTCAAATTAGAGTACCTTGATTTTGCCCATGTTATGGCTTTTCGAAATGATTCCCTTATTGTAGCTATTATCGAATCTTCTCCAAATTTAAAATATTTTGATATTTCTGGTAATGATATCGGAGATGAGGTAGTTGAAGCAGTAGCTAGTACATGCTATGAATTGGAATATCTTGATCTTGGAGGGTGTGGATTCATTACCGAACTATCGATATGTAATGTTATTCGATCATGTCCCAAACTTCAGCATTTTGAACTTGGATTTTGTGACATTTCCGATAAAACTATTAAAGAAATAGCCTGTTCATGTCCTAATTTAAAATATCTTGATTTGGATGGCTGTAAAAAAAAATATTAGTAAGTAAGTTATAAACCGACTTAATCTGAGTATACATATTGAAAATTACAATTCATCATATGAATGGTCCAATTCTGAATCGTCTGATACTTCTTATTCTGATCCGATGACAACACACAGAGCGGGGTGAAAACACATCTAATGAACAGAATCTAGAAGAGAATCCTATGAGCTCATATCTGCCTCCACCTAATCCAATCTTTACCGGTATAATTGATGAAAGTGATTTTATTTCTGCATTCAGTAATTATATCAGAATATCATCAGGAACGACTAACCCAGAACGGAATAATTTATTTAATAGTATCTTCCGGGAGATTTTATAGCAAGGAGTTTAGGACAGATAATTAATTAACTTTTTTTGGCTAAAGATATATAATACATAATATAAATTATTATCATGAAAGTGAAGATAGTCAAAGCTAAAGTAGGAATGCAAAAAGTCAATTGTCGCCTGAACCAGAATTTTTAGGGATCTCTATGTGTAGTAATAAACTTCTCAAGAAAATCGGTGGCATAATTAGCAGAAAGTTAACTCCCGAAGAAAAAGATAGTAAATTCGTCAAAGAAGAAACCACAGCTCCACTTGGATTGACCATAATCCTACCTATATTTATCTCTAACATAAAAAATAATGCCTGTCTTAGTAATAAAAAATCTATTACGATTCCAACTAAAGTACTCATAGAAAAATCTAACTCTAAAACATCTAACTATATTTTACTGGGTAATAATTGGTTTTATGGTAGAAAGTATAATAACGATGAACTTCAAACATACATACCTGAAATTGTAATCGACACAGAGGATGCTTTTGTAAGAACAACTCTGCGTATTAAAGATCTCAATGGATCTGGAGTATCAAAAACCGAAAAAAGCCAAGGGCTATAATATCGGTTAATAAAAGAGATATTCATGATTTTTACAAAATACTTCCTGGGAAATCAAAAGATTCATTGTATCGCAGATCAAATATCTCTACAACTTCCGATTCGAGTACTTCGAATGTCGATTCCATATCTAGTTCGGGAATAGAAGTTATATATATGAAACGCCCCATTCTAAAGCGTAAAGTAAAAGGTAAAGTTAAATATCGAGCTTTATAGGGCCTCAGGGGAGCTATGTTATGTATAAATCCAACATAAGCAAATCTTAGTCTGGGTCACGATCCCATTAAGTCACATGTACTGCTGATGCCATACATGTCTTGGATGAATTGATCGATCGCCATAAAATAATACCCGAACTTATCATGTTTTTGCTCAAACTTTCTAGCATATTCTCAGTAGCATATA